TTTTAAATCCATCAGACGGTCATTTCCCAGGGTCCCTACCAGCCCATGTCCACGTTTTCCCTTGGCCTGAGGTGGGAAAACCCTCGACCACCATCTGGGACTTTGGAACCCACATTACCCAGAAGGCCTTGTGAGGACTACGACCAGCTTAGCCAATGAAGGGTTAGAAAAGGCGTCCCCCTTGCGTCACAATGAGCAGGGGCGGGGCTTCCGGTGCTCTCTAGGCGGCTATTGGTCTCCACCCGGAATCTACTCCAGACCGGGGCGAGGGCTCCAGGTGGGCGGCGGCAGTGGCGGATACCCGGAGGGAGAAGGCCCGAGTCCTCACCGGCTCAGCCCGCTCGTGGGAGTGAATGGCCTTGCCCAGTTGCTCAGCTGAGGTGAGTTCGAGTCCCCCGCCCCCCACAACTGCTCTCACCGCCTCCTTACCCTCAACCCTGCAGCCTGGGCTCAGGGCGCCTGTCCCGTCCCGCAGCTCAGTCCCGCGTGGAGGACCGTGAGGAAGGAGGAGGGGGGAGAGGAGTGTTGTGGCTTCTGAGGACACAGCAAGTGCAGGGCAGAGAGGACGGGGGTGACTTGTATCTGAAGTTCCCCTGAGGGTGTGAGCTGTGAGTATTAAAGCAAAAATCAGCGACCGGCAGGGAGGATTTCAGAGCCTCAAGCCCTGCTTTCCCCAGGCTGTGGGGTCCACCAAGAATTGGGATTGCAGTAGATCCTTCTGAACCCTCACAAGCTCTCTCTGGATGCCATGTGCCAAGTTCATGGGAGAGTCCAGAGGGGTCCACAGTGTGGAGCAGGAAGATGTCGGCTGAGGCGTGAACCTGGGGCCTGAATGGGAAGGAGGTAGACATTACACATCTGGAGGAAGTGTGAGCTGATGGTCCCGGAGACCTGGTATTGGGACTTTTTAAGAATATATATTTTTATTGATTTCAGAGGAAGGGAGAGGGAGAGAGAGAGAGAAACATCAACGATGAGAGAGAATCATCCATCGGCTGCCTCCTGCACGCCCCCACGGCATCTGCTACCCGGGCATGTGCCCTTGATTAGAATCGAACCCAGGATCCTTCCATCTACAGGCCAACACTCCCTCCACTGAGCCAAACCAGCTAAGGCTGGTGTGGGGCCTAATGGGTGAAGTATAAATAAATAAATCCAGGTCTGGCTTTGTCTTCGTGGCATGATTTGGCAGGAACGCTGGGGCCCTACAGCATGGACCAGAGCTTAGATGGTGTTTCATTTGTTTTAGTCTGGACTGTTGATACTCTCTTTTTTGCCTGGTGGTTGGTGTCACAACTCAATCCATCTGTTGTGCTGAGGGCCATAACAGCGACTAAGGGGACTGTGACGAGTGAGCAGCCAGCACTGGCATTAGGGCCTGGAGACAATACAAACATGGGGAGCCCTGGAAGAGGTTGAGGATGAGGAAGATGTGTAAGGAGCAGGATCTTAGGTTCTCAGAATTGCAGCTCTGGGTTCAATTGTCTCAATTCTGACAGGTTGGCGTGACCTTTGAGGACATTGCCCTGTACTTCTCCAGGGAGGAATGGAGGCTCCTTGATGAGGAACAGAGATGTTTGTATGTGAATGTGATGCTGGAGAACTTTGAACTTATATCCTCGCTGGGTAAGACCCTCACTCTGGCTGGTTCCTGGGACTTGGCTTTGCATTTCCCTGTGCCCCATCACCTCTAGGGGGTGCTCTGTCCTCAACTGTTTACTGTATACACTGCTTGCTTTTTCCAGATTTCCTGGGTAGTTGCTGTGGCTGGCAGGGTTGGTTTGATTGCACAGCTCCTTTCTGTACCTTTAGTCACAACACCTGCTATACCCAACTCATAGGGAAAGGTTTGTGGTTGGTTGTGTGGCAGGGAGCCTAATGGATTCCAGTTGAGTCTTGAGCAAAAGCATATTCTTCCTGTTGGTCATTTGTAGGTATTTTTTTGAAAGAAGTCTCTACATCCTTAGTCCTATTTTTTGGGGGGGGTTGGGGGGATTGGGTAAATATTTGTTTATTGATTTCAGAGAGGATGGGAGAAGGGGAGAGAGATACAAACATCAATGATGAGGGAGAATCATTGATGAGTTGCCCCTTACTAGGGATAGAGTCCGCAGCCAAGGCATGTACCCTGACCAGGAACCGAACCATGACCTCTTGGGTTCTTGGATGGACACTCAACCACTGAGCCAGCCGGGGCTTTCGTCCTATTTTTAACCATATTTATTGGCTAGTGAGTGTTTTGAATATTTTTCTACTTTATAACAAGGCACATCTCCTTTTGCATTTGCTTACTTGTGCTTCCCAAATATTGCATTCTTGTTTTATTTAGAAATTCCTTGTTTTGGGCAACTCTGCATTCAGGAAGTGTAGTGTGGCTATTTTTCCAGCAGGCTCAGATGCTGCTTACCAGTGTTTACCCATAAAGTGTTTTTAATGAATTTATGTAGAATTTTTTTCAGCAACACTATTGTCTTCTTCAGAGCCTTCATTATAGTGTTAACATAACATGACGTTCTTTCTGTATCACAGTATTTGCTTTATTTGGCTGATCCGAACCGAATCCGCAATATCTTCTATATGTTCATATGATTTGCAAGTATCCTCTCCTATCCTCCTGTTGATTGCCTTTTCATTTTATTTTGTTAATTGCTTATTGTCCTTGGGAAATTGCTTTCATTTGTTTTAGTCCAGGGCTAGTCTGGACTTTTGATTTTTTCTCTTTTTTGCCTGGTGGTTGGTGTCGCATCCCAGAAAGCATGTCCAAAACAAGTCTCCAAAGTGTTTTCTCGGGGTTGTCTTGAAGGATTTTAAAGTTTTAACCTGGGCATTGAAATGCTTTCATTCAATCCGAGTAAGTGTTTATGGGTAGTTTTGTTGTTTTCCATATGAATATCTATATTTTCTTTTCTTTTTTTATTATAAATATTTTTAAAATATATTTTATTGATTTTTTTTTTTTTTTCCAAAGAGGAAGGGAGAGGGATAGAGAGCTAGAAAAATCGATGAGAGAGAAACATCGATCAGCTGCCTCCTGCACACCCTCCACTTGAGATGTGCCCATAACTAAGGCATATGCCCTTGACCGGAATCGAACCTGGGACCCTTCAGCCCGCAGGCCGACACTCCATCCACTGAGCCAAACCGGTTAGGGCTGAATATCTATATTTTCAATACCCCTCATTGAAGAAACTGTCCTTTCTTTCTTAATGTTTCTTGTGATTTTGTCACAAGAACCTATGTGCCTGGGTCTATCTGTGTTTTCTGGCGGGGATGGGGGGGGGTTGGTCTGTGTTTCTGTGTGTATTTCAATAACACAAAATTTGGTTGCTTTGCCTTTGTAATAGATTGAAGGAAGGAAGTGTAATGCCACCAGGTTTGTTCATGCTGAAGATTCCTTTTGCTCTTTGAGGTCTTTTGAGGGTTTAGACATTGGAATTATCATCCGGATTGCATTTAATCTAGAGGTTCCTTTGGGTAGTATAGATATTTTAAGGATATTACATTTTCAAATCCAAGAACACCGAATGTCTTTACACTTTTTCGTTTCTTTTTCCATTTCTTTCACCACTGTGTTCTAGTGTTCAATGCACAGATCTTTCATCTTTGCGCTAGGATTTTCCCCCTGTATATTTTATTCCTCTCAATGCCATTGTAAACTCGACTACTTTCTTCATTTTTTTTTAATGTGTTTTTGTTGATTTTTTCGAAAGAGAGGAATGGAGAGGGAGAGAGTGAAACATCCAGCAGAGAAACAGCAACCAGCTGCCTCCTGCACGCTCCCTACCTCCGGTTAGGGCTGAATATCTATATTTTCAATACCCCTCATTGAAGAAACTGTCCTTTCTTTCTTAATGTTTCTTGTGATTTTGTCACAAGAACCTATGTGCCTGGGTTTATCTGTGTTTTCTGGGGGGGTTTTTTGGTCTGTGTTTCTGTGTGTATTTCAATAACACAAAATTTGGTTGCTTTGCCTTTGTAATAGATTGAAGGAAGGAAGTGTAATGCCACCAGGTTTGTTCATGCTGAAGATTCCTTTTGCTCTTTGAGGTCTTTTGAGGGTTTAGACATTGGAATTATCATCCGGATTGCATTTAATCTAGAGGTTCCTTTGGGTAGTATAGATATTTTAAGGATATTACATTTTCAAATCCAAGAACACCGAATGTCTTTACACTTTTTCGTTTCTTTTTCCATTTCTTTCACCACTGTGTTCTAGTGTTCAATGCACAGATCTTTCATCTTTGCGCTAGGATTTTCCCCCTGTATATTTTATTCCTCTCAATGCCATTGTAAACTCGACTACTTTCTTCATTTTTTTTAATGTGTTTTTGTTGATTTTTTCGAAAGAGAGGAATGGAGAGGGAGAAAGTGAAACATCCAGCGGAGAAACAGCAACCAGCTGCCTCCTGCACGCTCCCTACCTGGGATCTTGCCCACAACCTGGGCATGTGCCCTGACCAACAATCAAACTGGTGGCCTATTAGTTCATGGGAAAATGCTCAATCAACCGAGCAACACAACGAGGGGCCTTTCTTCCTTTCCTTCTCAAAGAATTCATTGTTAGCGTTTAGAAATGGAACTGATGTTTGTATGTTGATATTTTATCCTGTAACTTTTCTGAATTCATTTTTTATTTAATACTCATTTATTGCTTTTAGAGTGCGTGTGTGAGACATTGTTCTACTTTTCCACCCATCTATTTATTCATTGGCTGCCCCCTGCATGTTCCCTGATGGAAAATGAAGTCCATTACCTTGTCGCATCAGATCCACACACTCACAAACTGAGCCTCCCAGCTAGGGCTCTGAAGTTTTTTAATTAATTTTAGGAGTGTATAGTGAGTTCGTTACGATTTTCTCCACATAAGTTCATGTCATTTGGCAAGATCTCTTATGTGTTGTGCCTCATTGTCAGGCGTAATGTCTTATCTTTTTCATTTCTTTTTGAAATTCATTTTAGTGTTGTTTCATTTGTTTTAGTCTCAATAAAGATTTGCCAAATTGGTGTATGTTTTAAAAAGTAAATAGCTCTTAGGCCAGGAATGCATGGTGGTTAGAGTGTAGGCCCAAACCAAAGGGTCATGTGTTCGATTCCTGATTAAGTGCATGAGCCTGATTTGCAGTTTTGATCCTCCTCCTCTGATGGGGCCTGTGAGGGAGGCACCCAACCAATGTGTCTCTCTCACATCTATGTTTTTGTGTATATTTTACTCTTTCTCTCCCTTCCACTGAGTCTAAAAATGAATGAAAAAGATATTCTCGGGTGAGGATAAACAACAACAACAACAAAAGTTAGCTCTTGGTTATGATATACTTTTGTCTCTAGTTTATTAATAGTTCTAATACTCATTGTTTATTTTCTTTGCTAGCTTTGGGTTTACTTTCCTTTTTTGGTTTCTTCTAAACT